TGTGCTTGGTTTATTTTTCATATGTTTTTTGCAATTGGTGTTTGTTTAGGGAAAGATGCTGCAGACTGAGCAATAATGCATTTCTTGCATTTCTCAAGGGTTCTGATGGGGTCTTTCTTAAAATTACTGGTCCCAGTAACAAAGGCGCTTGTCGACTCAGAAATCGAGTGAAACTAATGACACACCCGGCAGAACTTTAAGTTATTTAGCTCGTCATATTCCAGCCACAGAAATTCTTTTGTCCATGAAACCAAAAAAGCTGCAATTTCTTTTTGCCTCATAGTCTGATTTGTCATAACTTTTCCATTTTGTGGTAAGCTTTTCTTTGGCTGTCCCCTCTTTACCCTGACCGGTCTTATTTGGCTGAGCAGGACTAAAATACCTGCGTAAATCCATCTGCTTTTACACACGCACTCACATAATGATCAGCAATTCTCTGCACAATCAACCTCTATGACATGTTTAAGCTTGCTGGGGAAGATTTCACTTGTCATATTTACACAGTAAGCTAACGAGTGATAAGGAATTGGAGAGGAATTAATCTGTCACTCACCAATCAGTACTGCTGCTCTCTATTCACAGTTTGCGCGACGGCAAAGTGAACGTGAAGCAAAAAAAAAGAAAAGAAAAAAAAAAAAACGCAAATTCAAACGCGATTTCATTATGTCACATATTGACAGTGGCTCTTCGATACCAATGACAACATTACCCAGCTACGTTTGCGAAAGAATGCAAAAGTATTGACATATTTTTTCTTCCTATGATAACCTGATGGGCAGGGCTGAGTTGGAATTTGGTAGCCCGAACCGGAAAAATTGCTAGTGTTGGGACGTCGGGATAGCGATTTTGCGAGCGCTGAGACTATTAAATAATAAAAGCTGCAGCTATTGAATATTTTAGTAATCAAGTATCCTATTGATTATTCAAGTAACTGGATAAGAAATACGTCTGCCTTATAATAAATACTTAAAAGAGAAAAAAAACAAAAAAAACAAAAACAAACCCCCCCCCACAGGTTATCAAACAAAATCCCCAAAAAACAGGAAATACAAAATTGTTATTTCTACAGTGTGTACCAATGTTGTAATATAACTACATGCAATGCCCATCAAAAAAACAACAACAAAAAAACATTCATGCAAATGAATTGCATGCAGTGGGTCAAATGTTTGTGTGCATATGTTGAGGTAGTTCCCTTTGTCATGATCAGCGTTCAAATTGTTACTCAAAAAATCATTATTACACATATTACGCAGACTACTTTTTGAAAAAGTAATGCAGTACTTTGCTTAATCACTTCATTATCAAACTCATAACGTTACTTTCATGTTACTCTGCAAATAGCTGAAATACAATGTCTCATAATCACCATTTAACAATATAAACCTGAGACTACAGCCCCACATACCAAAACGAATCCCTAATGAGGACACAGATCTCTAAGATCTCTCTCCTAGTGCACTAAAAAGCTGACTGCACAAAGCAAAGATGAAAACCAGCACCGAAAAGCGAACGCCACAGTGATTCTGCTTTAGAAATATGAACAGGTATGAAGGGAGGCTGCAGTCTGACTGCCATCTCCTTGATTCCATGTAGAAGTTAATTCAATTCAATTTTATTTATACAGCACCTACATCAACGCAACACGCAAACTGAAATCAGCTGATTATAGTGCAAGTGTAAAAACCATAAGTGGGATTAATAGGCGGGCATTCCAACAATTCCAAGGAATTTGACTACTGGGAACACGTTCTCGATTCCCGTCCCTAATTTGCATGCCATAATAAAATTAAAGCATTTGAAGAAAACATTCTCTTAAATGCAAAAACAAATAAATAAATGATCTCAAATACAATAATGCTTTGATGCAAAGTTTTATGCTTCT